CACCAGCAACCCATGTGACCTAGGTCAAGTCACTCTACTTCTCTTAATCTTGGTTTCCTTGAATGCCACATAGTAGGAATTATCCTACTGGCTGTTGTGAGACCAGTTAGGAAAACAGGAATCAAACTGCTTTGTTAGTGATAAAATTCTGGGACCCATGAGGATGGTTAATGACGCTGTTTTCATTAGCTGCAAAGCCAAGGGCCAAGTCCCCCACTCCACCCTAGGAAGTGTTCCCAGTGGGCAGATGTGGGGTCCCACTGGGGAGCCAACTTGAAGGAGAGCACCCCCACAGGGCCTGGCTCTGGGCTTTAATGGGCCATGGCTCAGCTCCAACCTGGCTCTTTCCCCAGGGCCAAGTGTGGTGACTCCACAGAAGACGCCAAGGTGGATCAGGCACAGCAGGTGAGCTGGGCTGGGGAGGGAGTGTTCAGAAGGGAGAAAAGTCTGGGGTGGACGGGCAGGCAGTTTCAGGGAAGCCAGCAGCCCAGGCGTTCACCCGTGCTGTGCTGGCATCCGGATCCCTGTGTGCACACATAGTCTGACCATGTGACCCTGGGTCAGCCACCTTGGCAGGACAGACAGGGATGTGCAACAAGCAAGAGGCCGATGGTCTTGTAATAGTTTCTCACAAGGAAGCAAGGCTGAGGATGGTAAAAGAAATGGGAATATTCAACAAGGTGACCGTCAACACTGTGAGTCATAGGGAGTTCAGAGAGGAAAAGTGAAAGAGGCAGGGCCAGAATGGAAACCCAGGTCTTTCTAATTCCAGGTGATAAACCCAAACTCTATAATTCACACCTATTCTCCTTTTCTGTGGGAATAGCACAGGGTAGGGGAAATACAAGAGAATGGCGTGGATTTGGGAGTTGTAGAGATGTACAATGACACAACAACTATAAAGAATGAGGCATGCACCAGGAACTTAATAAATGGGAGAACCTTACTCTCTCTAGAGTCTTAGGCCAAGAGTCATTCAGCTCAGACCCTTTGTGGGGCCAAATCCAGAGGGGACACTAAAAAGTGTGTATTGAGTTAGAGGAGATCATCTCTCCCAAGTTGCTCATTTTGCAGATGGGAAGACTGAGGCCTCGAGGCTCAAAGTCACAGCAAGCAAGGGGCCAGGACTCTGGGCTGCCAGGCAGGGCTCAGCCTTTTGCCAGCAGGCTGACTCCAGAACAACCTCTGCTCTCTCCCCTCACCAGCCTTGAACAAATATCGGTTCTTCTCCAACCCTCAGTTTCTCCTTTGTTGAACGGGCATAACCACTCCCTGGCAAGATTGCATGATGGGAAGAGAAATGCATGGTGTCAGGTTGGACGTTCAGTGATTGGTTTTTCTGTTCTCTGTCCCCTCCAGCACTGTAACTGGCTCATAGATAATCTTGACCAAAGAAATGGTCTTCTAACAATGTTTAGTGTCCTTAAGTCTTAAAAACACCCCCTGAAATATGTATTCAAAATAAAATCATTTAATCTAAATCACAAAATAAATGTAAAGGATTCCAAAATTTTTCCGATTTTTGCTGTGTTGTTACATCAAATGATGCTTTTTTAAAATATCAAATGCTAAATTATTTCACAAACATTTTTTCATACTGTTATCTAGCTAGCACCCTAAACACATTTTGTTGGTTTGTTGCATAGGCGCACTCTGCCAAGCAGAAGTTTAGGGGAGGAAAGTGTGTCAGTGCCTTTAGGATGAGCAAATAAACATCAACTTATTGATCTGTCTTGTGGCCCCAAGTAGATGAAGCAGCCTGGGCTCATTGCTTAGTTATCCTGGACTCAAAGTGATAATCCAGCCCTGTTGATGGTCTAATTCTGGTTCTGTCATTAACTTACTGTGTGACCATGGGCAAATCACAGCCTGCTTCTTAGCCCCATACCTTTTTTGTTCCCTGCATATAAGAAAAGGGTTAGACTAAAACTATTTATTGCTAATGATCCTTTCATTCTAATTTTATGAGTGAGTAGCAAAACAAAGTCAGTAGGGAAACTGCATTCTGGCCTGTCTCTGGAACCCCAAGTTCCTGAGAAGGGTGCTGGTGCTTCATTAAATAGAAAATCAGGCCTAGTTACAACCCTGGGCTCCCAGTCTGATGGAACCACAGACACATAAACAGAGAAGAGACAATCCAGTGTGATCATAGTGATGTCCAAAAAAAGCACATGAACAGTGAGAGCTAGCTGAGATCAACAAAGACCTCTTGGAGGAGGGAACACTAGAGCTTAGTTTGGAAAAAGGATGAGGCAAGGGCAAGGAGTTGCCATTTGATGATAGAGTCAGGAGAAATAAGGCTATAAGAAGATAAGCTTTAAATGGAGGCTAAGGGATCATCTCTCACGAAAAATCCTTAATGAATACTGGATGGGAGCTTGGACACTGGGTTTAAGACCTACCTCTACTATGAACTGTCAGTTGACCTTAAGAAAACAGTTTCCGGACTTCAGACTCAATATCTGTCTCCCCCACTTAAAAGAAATGAGCCAGAGGAGGGAGAAGGAGTCAGACTTGATGGCTCTGAATTTTTGCCCCTCAAACCCCAACTCAGTTTAACTCAGTGACATTCAATCCAAAATTGACTTCTCTGAGCTCTTACAACATGCAAGAAAATAAAGGTGATTTGCATCATTGGGTGTGAGAGAAACCTGGTGACTGGCTTTGGGAGACTGGATCTGGTCAGCTGAGGGTTCACTCTTTTACGGCAAGGTGCAGGAGTTTTTGCTTTTCTGCTTGGCTAATGGAGGCCAACCTCTAGAACATTTTTTTTTCTTTCAAGGAAGACTTCACAAAGGAGTGGCCTATTTCTGGTGTCTTTTACAAAGACATTTTACCAGCCTTCACCCACTTACAGGGAATTATCCCACCCTCCACACTTAAGAAACTTAAGAACAATTTGGAATTTAGGGTTGTTGTTGACAGTATCATCTAAGAAAAGGAGATGGAAAGAGAAAATTGTTGCCCAATCTCTCTCCAGATGAAAACTTAAGTTCTAGATTCTCCAGAAGATATAACGTAGAATAAATAGGCTTAGTCTGGCAGTCAGACGTCTGGGTTCTGGTCCTAGCTCTGCTGTGTAATCTCGGGCAAGCTCTTGCCCCTTCTGTCTACAAGGAAAAAAAAAAAACAAAACCTGACTGGACATGTCTAGATTTGGCATTTTTATAATTCGATAGCATGAAAGATATTTTATTAGAAGCAATATCAGGGATGGAGTAATCTCAGAGTCATATTCCCAGAGAAGAAAAGAGCTAGTGATTGTCGGTTCACTTTAGAGGAACCCTCCTCCCTAGAAATCCAACTCATCGCATTCTTCTTGCACCTGTGTTTCGCCAGATTACTGAAAAATATATTTATAATTCACCCAATTTTGCCTAATTGCTGCAGTGGAAGTGTTGGGATAGCGTGATCTATTATATTCTACACAAAAATGGAAGTACTGACACTTAGCTTAGAAGGAGTCAGGAAGAACCACTATTCGAGACTTACAAGAGAAGAATAAGCTTGATAACTATGTGAACAATAGCATGTTGCAAAGAACCTTGGAGAAAGCGGTCCTTCCAAAGCAACATGGTGGAACTTGGAGTGCAAAAGAAGAGGCATGAGTTCAAGGACTTGACTTAAGAGAACTGACATCCCAAACTAGATACATAAAATCTAAGATGAAGACTAACAGAAATCTTTCCAGAGAGTTTTTCACAATCATAATTCAACAATCAACTGTTTACATCTGATTATCCTAGTAAAATGTAAAGTCTAAGAAAATAGGGACTTTGCCTGCCTTCTCCATTTTCATCACTGTGTCAGCTGAACATGGCAAGTCTTTCATTTGGTAGGTTATTGGTTAATTAATAATTAGTTTGACAAAAGAAAGGAGGTAGAAGTTTTGGGTTCACATAGTAGGAGTTAATACCACAACCTACTAATCAGTCCTCAAGAGCTGGTTGTAATATTACCTTTATATTTTGACTAGAGTGTAAATATTGAAGATTTCTCATTCCAGAATCCTTTGATTCTATTGTTTCCAGATATCCCAGTGCCCAGATGTTCCAGCTGCCCATCTCCCAGAAATACAGCTCTGGCTCACCATGGAGGCCACAACCTGTAATGGATCACTGGGTGGCTCACCAGTCTTCTACCTCTGGCATCCCCTCCCTGCCAGAGTCCCTCTTCCTCCCTGTGTTTTTAATTTTTCTCCTTTTATACCTTCTCATCCTCACGGGTAATGCCCTGATCCTGGTGGCTGTGGTGGCAGAGCCCAGCCTCCACAAGCCCATGTACTTCTTCCTGATCAACCTCTCAGCCCTGGACATCCCCTTCACCACAACCACTGTCCCCAAGATGCTGTCCCTATTCCTGTTTGGGGACCATTTTCTCAGCTTTACTTCCTGCTTATTGCAGATGTACCTCTTCCAAAGCTTTACATGCTCTGAAGCCTTCATCCTGGTGGTCATGGCCTATGACCGCTATGTGGCTATCTGCCGCCCACTGCACTACCCTGTGCTCATGACCCCACAGACCAACGCTGCCCTGGCAGCCAGTGCCTGGCTCACTGCCCTCCTTCTGCCCATCCCAGCAGTGGTGAAGACCTCCCAGATGGCATATGACAACATTGCTAGAATCCACCACTGCTTCTGTGATCATCTGGCTCTAGTTCAAGCCTCCTGCTCTGACACCGCCCCGCAGACCCTCATGGGCTTCTGCATCGCCATGGTGGTGTCCTTCCTGCCCCTTCTCCTGGTGCTTCTCTCCTATGCTCACATCCTGGCCTCAGTGCTTCGCATCAGCTCCCGAGAAGGACGCTCCAAAGCCTTCTCCACCTGCAGCTCCCACCTCCTGGTGGTTGGCACTTACTACTCATCCATTGCCATAGCCTATGTGGCCTACAGGGCTGACCTGCCCCTCGACTTCCACATCATGGGCAACGTGGCATATGCTATTCTCACGCCAATCCTCAATCCCCTCATTTACACTAAGAAACAAGGATGTCAAGGCAGCCATTACCAAAATCACACATCTTAAGACACAGGCTGGAATAGGAGCCCTTGACCTTTAGATGCAGCTAATTCTGCTCTCAGGATACCAATAACAGTGCCCAGCACAGATTGTTGTTGTTGTTGAATTGCTAAGTCGTGTCTAACTCTTTGCAACACTATGGACTGTAGCCTGCCAGCTCCTCTGTCCATGGGATTTCCCAGACAAGAATTCTGGAGTGGGTTGCCATTTCCTTCTCTGAGGGAAATTCCCAACCCAGGGATTGAATCCACATCTCTTGCATTGGCAGGCGAATTCTTTCTCTCTGAGCCACCAGGGAAGACCCCAGCACAGATTAACAACTCAATAAATATTCTTGAGTAAATAAATCAGTAAATATAGAATGGTAAGAGAAAATTCTGTTGAGCAGTCAACTTCAACAGTGGTTGTCATATTTTGGTCCAGGGCTTTCCCCCTAGTGCAATGGAATAATGTTCATCTTTATATGATATCTTGCACTGTATAAGAATTTCACTTCTTCATAAGAAGCTTTTTCTTTTAAAAAAAAAAATCTGCATGGCAAAAAAATCTTTATAAGCAAAGTCAAAAAACAAAAGACTTACATCACAGGGAAAGGGCAAATATCTAAAATAGATAAAGGGTTCTGGAGAAGGAACTGGCAGTCCACTCCAGTATTCTTGCCTGGAGAATCCCATGAACAGAGGAGCCTGGTGAGCTACAGTCCATGGTGGGGTGGGGGGGTCACAAAGAGTCAGACATGACTGAGCAATAACATACTTACCTACCTCCTGAATTTTTAGAAGAAAAATCTAACATACAAATATAAAAGTGGGAAAAATATATGAAAAGATAGGTTACCAGAGAAACACAGTGGTCTTTAAACAATGAAAAAGTAGTCTACTGTATTAAAATACTGTATAAAAAGAATACAAATTAAAACTACAGTGTGAATTTCCCTAGTGGTCCAGTGATTAAGAATCTGCCTGCCAGTGCAGAGGACTTGGGTTTGAACCCTTGTCTGGGAAGATTTCACATGCTGCAGGGCAACTAAACCCATGTGCCACAACTACTGAGTCTATGTGCTCCAACTACTAAAGCCGATGAGTTCTAGAGTCCATACTTCACAACAAGAAAGCCACAGCAATAAGAAATTTCTGCACTGCAACTAGAGAGTATCTCCTCACTGCTCACCACAACTAGAGAAAGCCTGGCACAGCCAAAAATAAATATAAATAGTAAATAAAAAATTTTTAAATTACACTGAAATTCCATTTTCCACATAATCAGATTAACAAAACAATATTTTGGCAATATGCATGTAGAAAATCAGAACTCTTGTAAATTGCTTGTGAGGGTGCAAATTGATAGAGCATTACTGTGATACCCACCAAAAGTACATATACATTTATCGTTTGACCCAGAAATCTCATTTCTAGGAGTCAGTCTCGAAGATACATTGGCAATAATTCATTAGGGTACTCATTCATCATTAGGGAACAGGTTGAAAAAAAATTATTTTAAGTATAACGCATCTATAAAAAGGAAGTGATAGCTGTATACTGATCTAGGATATGCTAATGGACTTCCCTGGTGGCTCAAATGGTAAGGAATCTGCCTGGAATGCAGGAGACACTGGGTTGGGAAGATCCCCTGGAGAAGGGCATGGTAACCCAGTACAGTATTATTGCCTGGAGAGTCCTATGGCCAGAGGAGCCTGGAGGGCTGTGGTCCATAGGGTCGCACTGACTTGGACACAACTGGAGTGACTTTGCACGCATGCCCACAGAAGGATGAAACCTCGAATTAATAAAGATGGTTACCTACAAGGAGAGAGAGGGAACAGAGTGGGGGGGACAGGAATAGAAACAATCTGACTTTAGATGTATGTGCAATTTTTATATAATTAAAAGAAATAGAAAATAAAAAACGTGATTCCCTCCTTTTTAAAATAAAAAGAAACACTTGATCTTAGATGTCTATCAAATTAATGGCATGATCATTAGGAAAATTACCGTAAGAGTCATCGAAACAGTGCTTTGACTGTACATCCTAAGAGGGATACAATTTAACAACAAGGAAAATCATAACAGCTTAAATTGCATTGAGAAGTCTTTTAAAAAATGTTACAGTTTTACTTAAGAAATTAGATTGAAATTAAATCATTCTATAATCATTTAAAATACTTCATTTTGAAATTATTTGATACTTACAAAAAGTTACAAAGATAGTACAGAGTTTCTATTTACCTTTCATCCAGCTTCCTCTAATTTTAACATCTTACATAATCATGCTGCATTCATCAAAACTATGAAACATGAATCTATATAACACATTATCACTCAAAGTCCATAGTTTACATTAGGGCCTACTCTTGGTATTATATATTATTTTATTTTTTGTATAGACATGCAGTTGTTCCAGCACCATTTTTTAAAGCCTATTCTTCATCATTAAATTGTCTTTGAACTTTTGTCAAATATCGAACTACAGTTGTGTCTATTTCTGGGCTTTCTCTTCAGTTCCATTGGTACATTTATCTGTCCTTTTACCAATACCACGTCATCTTGATTACTATAACTTTATACTTAGTGTTGAAATTGGGTAGTGTGAATCTCCCAACTTTGTTTTTCTGTTTTAGAATTGTTTTGACTATTTTATTTCCTTTGCTTTTTGATATACATTTTGGAACTAACTTGCTGGGTTTTGACTGGGATTGTACTGAATCTATGTATTAAATTTGGGATATTTGACATTTTAACAATATCGAGTTTTCCAATTTAATAACATGGATATCTCTTCATTCATGTTGATTTTCTTTGATTTTATTCATCAGTGTTTTGTAGATTTTAGCCTATGGATTGTGCACATATTTTGTTGAAGAAAGAAAGTGAAAGTCACTCAATCGTGTCTGACTCTTTGCGATCCCATGGACTATAGAGTTCATGGAATTCTCTAGGTCAGAATACTGGAGGGGTAGCCTTTCCCTTCTTCAGGGGATCTTCCCTACCCGGGGATCAAACCCAGGTCTCCTACATTGCAGGCAGATTCTTTACCAACTGAGCTATGAGGGAAGCCCCACATATCCTGTTAGGTTTATATTTAAGTGTACATTTTGGTTAGTCTGTTAATACGGTGGCCTTTTCATTGATTGGTTTTGAATGTTGAACAGATTCTTAATTCCTGGGATGAACTCCACTTGGTTATGATATATTGTCCTCTATAAATATTGCTAGGTTTGATTTTTTAAAATATTTTGTTTAGGATTTCCACATGAGGGATACTGATCTGCAGTTTTCTATTAATTCCTTTGCCTAGTTTGATATTAGGTTAATATTGGCTGGCCTTATAAAATGAGTTGGAAAGTTTTCTCTCCTCTTCTATAATCTGGAAAATATTATGTAGAATTGGTATTTTTTCCCTTAAATATTTAGTAGTATTTTCCTATGAAATGACCTGTGTCTGGAATTTCCTTTTAGGAAATTTTTTTTCTACAAGATCAATTTCTTTACTAGATGTAGAAGTATGGGTTTTTTTGTGTTTATTTATTTTTGGCTGAATCTTTGTTGCTCTGTGTGGCCTTTTTCTAGTTGTGGAGCATGGCTTTCTCGTGGTGGTGGCTTCTCTTGTTGCAGAGCACAGGCTCTAGGCACTCAGGCTTAGTTGCTCAAGGCATGTGGAATCTTCCTGGACCAGAGATACAATCATATTCCCTGCCTTGGCAGGCAGATTCTTACCCACTGCACCACCTGGGAAGTCCTAGATATAGAAGTTTTAAAATTGTCTGTTTATTCTTGAATGGGTTTTGGTAGTTTGTACCTCTTGAGGAATTTGTCCATTTCATCCACATTATAGAATTTATAGGCATAGAGTTATTTGTAGCAGTCTTTCATTATCCTTTTAAAGTCTGTGATATCTCTTCTTTCATTCTGAATGTTGCTAATTTGTGTCTTCAATTTTTCTTCTTGGTCAATCTGGCTATAGATGTATCAATTTTATCGATTTTTCAAAGAATCAGATTTTAAACTTAAATGTCCATCATAAAATAGCTAGAGGGAAGCTCAGGGAATTCAGTGCTCTATGATGACCTGCGGGGGGGATGGAGGTGTGGGAGGGAGGCTCAAGATGGAGGTGATATATGTATATTAGAGCTGATTCACCTTGTGGTAGAGCAGAAACTAACACAACATTGTAAAGCAATTATACTCCAAAAAAAAAGAATCAGCCTTTAGTTTTATTGATTCTGCTCAGCTGTTTTTCTGTTTTCTGTTGTATTGATTCTTGCTATAATATTTATAATTTTCTTTCTTTTAAGTACTTTGGGTTTAATTTTATATTCTTTTTCTAGTTTCTTAAAGTGAAGATTAGATTGTTGATATGAGCCTTTTATTCTTTTCCGATATAAGTATTAAACTCTATAAATTTCCCTCTAGCTACTGCTTTCATAATTCCCTACAAATTTTGAAATATTGTACTTCTCTGTTTTTTTCAACTCAGAATGTGTTTTTAATTTCCCTTGAGACTTCTTAAATTCTGGAGCACTTAGGCCCATCCACTTGAATAGGGCTTGATTCCAACCTCTGCCTCACCAGCATCATGTGGCTACTAAACTCTTTCTGCAGCTTTGTAACTTCCCAGCTGCTGTCTTCTTCTGGTTTCTCAAAGTCTTTCCCTATATGTGCACACCTGAAGAGTTGGTCCCTGACTTGAAGGGAATTTGTACAGATTTTGAAGGGCCTTCCCTGCAGTACTATCCTCCCCAGTATTTTGCCTTTTAATTTCCAGCCCTTTCGGTAATCCAAATTCCAGCTTGTATCTCCTCAGTTTATTAGGACTTTATTTTTCTAATTGAGCTCTATTCTTCAGTCCTGCAAATTGGGAAATGCCCTCAGGTAAAAATCTCCGATCGTGTGGAAATTACTTCATGAGCTTTCCTATTTTCAAGGATCACAGTCTTTCAAGGTCTCTGAAGCCTTCAAACAATTATTTTACATATTTTATCCAGCTTTTACAGTTGTTTTTGGCATGAGGTTTAGTTCCAAAGAAGGTACTCTGTCATAGGCA